GAAAAAATAGATTTTTCATATGTTTTACTATGTGATCGACAAAAATTACGTAGACTTTTGTCCAGTGAGTGTATGTTATAAGCTTATGAACACTGGCCAGCCATAACGTGGTGCAAACAACACGAGACAAGTGCTTTTACGAATAAATTAATGTAATAGTATTCGTGCTCGGGTGATAAAGCCCAGTCAATCTGTTACCATTGTAACATGTTAGTTTTTGCTTCTTTTGAAAACAACCCCGGTTTAAACAATAACAATTGGCTGGAGTCAACATTTGTATCGTCATTAAATTATTGCCGAAAATCGTCTGCTTATTGATGGTTAATAATTTACAATACGCGGAGAATAGATCTGGCCGTTATTATAAAATTGAATTTCGGTGACAATTACAGCTTTAGGATTCCATATTGGCGATGTGTACAGATTTTGGATCATAGGGGCGGGGCAAATCTTATTTAACATTGTGGGATAATCCTGAAAGGAAAATAAAATGTTTACAGCATTAAATATTATATGTTTGTCTCGTATCTCCAATACTATGCAGTAAGCACACACGGACAACTTATTGCAAATCTGTATTATATTACGTACGAATATAGTTTATCACGATAGACAAATATTAATAAATACTAGCTAGCGCAAGCTATTATAAAACGTAATCAGTTGTTTATTAACAAGATAAAAATACATTGTCCAAGATATTTTCCCACTAATTTTCTGTCTTCTCCTGAGAAAGCATTAATAAGTTCAGAAAGAACTTAAATTAAACTCTAAATTTCTTCTTCTGGTGATACTGATCTAAATCCAAAAGAAAGTAATTATTCGAGTTCTGTATATACTCTAATCCAGAACTTGACTATCTCTTGTTTGCTACGTACGTAATTACAATCACAATAATGGGAATATTTGATTAGACTATTTATCATTCTGTAATGCTTATCACAATAATGGGAATATTTGATTTAGATCATTTATCATACTGTAATGCTTTATTTTGCAAATACGGGTGGACCATTATTACAAACTACTTGTTGCTTATCACAAGCGCAAACGTTAGGAATTTTAGGGTTCTTGTCTCGATTGAAAGAATCTGCACACGCATTGTGCTGAATAGCACACTGACGGTTATGTGCAACGTCGAGGTCGTTAAAAATAATTTTTTTTACTTTAAAAGTTCCGTTGGATTTCTTCTTAATAAATGGCATCTGAACACCACCGAGAGGATTGTCAGCCGCTCTGTTTCCAGTCTTGCATTTTGGTTTCTTTGGTTTTTTCTTTTTCGGGTTTTTCGAGGACTTTTTTCCTTTATTGTTCGATGCGGCCTTGATATCGGCTAAAACGCCAAGTGGGTCATAGTCTTCATCTAAATTAAAAGCATCTTTAGGTGTACCCGGTTTTGTTGTCGCAGCAGGATCTTGGCTTTGTACGATTCCATTTAATTCCTTGAAGAATGGTTTTCTCCCGCACAAGAAACTTGGTTTTCCATCCTGGTTGGTATTTCTCTCGGCAGTTCGATATTTTCGTGCCACACTAATTAAAATTTTCTCCTTTTTCTTTCCATCCGGAATTGATTTATCAGCACCCATTTTTTTTGCAAAAAATATCAAATGATCCGCCACAAGCTGTTGTCTGCAAGCAGGCTTGGCGGCAAGAAGAGCATTCACGGCTTCGCCAGACAGATTTCCAATCCGTGCGCTGTATTCGGTATTCACAGCACTGTCGCGCATTTTTTGGTAAAGTGGTTCAACAAACTTGGAGTGTTCTTGACCAAAGCGACGTTTTTCGAGTGGAGTGGCAGATGAAAGAAGGGCCAAACCAATCATCACTGTAAGCATTACAAATATCTTCATTATTGTGTTTGGTATTAGGTCAACGTTCTTAAAAGTTAGCTCAGCTATGCTTTATGGTTTAGAGACAGTTGCTGAATTGGGTTGTTTTTTTTTCAAGAACAAACCAGTCGCGCTTGAAATTTTGTGTTGTAATTGTCGTCAGTTGTGTATTTTATACTTTTCGAATCGTTGATAGTGGTTCACATGTCAATAGTATTGACGCGCGTAATACCGAAAGTGGTAATCAAAAGGTAGATCCCAACCAACTCAATACTGCACTTTTTGGCTTGCCGGATCGCAGATTCTGATACGCTTTGAGGGGAAAGAGAACTCGTGATTATGTTCCCTAAGACTGTAATGATATCCTACAGTCATTAGTCCGTTATTGAGACTGGTCACTGCCCCAAAAATTTCTAGCAAAGCAAACGTAATTGTTTCGTTAAAAATTCGGGATGCAAGTAAGTGGCTGAATGAATTAGTGTAATCTATTAGAAAAGACTATATATGTAATATGTCAGTTTTGACCATTAACAGAATAAATAAACCCGAATTTTTCATTGACATTTCCCAATTACTCACACGTTCACGAGACATTCATAATTTGTTATTATTATTGTTGTTATTATTATTGGATAGTAAATGACAAATACTACAGTATTATTTATCAAAACATGTGTACTTTTCATCGTTTGTGCATCTTAGGAACGTTTGATACAAAGCTTTCCCCCTTTTTAGAGTAGATCGTCAACTTACTGCTATTGTCGTACGTCGATCGTCAAACCATGCTTTCTTAAACCTAATACTAAATCTCTAATGCACATGCTTTACCATTAATAAAATGAATGAAAATTCACGCAAATAATTCACCTTACATAACTGATAAATGTCAAGTATCGACCGCTACCAGGTATATCTTAATGCATATTGCTTTTGTTAAGTGTGTAAAATACTGTTGCTTAATAGAAATACCATTTCTGCCGATATTGCAGCCCTTCGGGAATGCGAATGCTTGAAACAAGAAATAGTTTACCATTTTCCTAATTTAAAGTACTAACAGTCCTTATTTGTCAAAAAACCGTCCTGGTGGTATTAACGTAGGAAATCAAACTGTTTCATCGCAACAATAAGCACGCCATACTTACGATTGATTGATGAGCATATTTTACAACACACTCATTAACGAACTATACCGCATATAAACATCATAATAATCAAGCTAGTTGTTCAAACCCAAAAAACAAATGTCACGTTGCCATCCATGTCACAATCACACATAGTATTAATACGTCACGTTTATCTCGGCGTAGCATTGGAATTTGAGTTAGAAACTCACACATTACATAGCGATAACAGTAGCCCCAAATGTATATACTGCAAAGCTAACAATCACTTCAAAGACAATATTCCAAAGTGAATATAAAAACCGAAACATAACAATGTTCGTCCGTCGCTGCGAGGGTAAACAAAAGCAACATATCTTAAAGCGGGTGGCGTATCCTAACCTCACTTTTGAAAGAAAAATTTTACTGTCTTGCGACGACTGCGTTTGCATGTTGCTCCTGTTTCGCTTCAAGCAATTGCCATAAAGCATTTAATGTTTCCCAAAACGGACATTATTCAATAAACACAACAATTTAATTATCTTGTAAGAAAAGGGCATGCATCGAAAAACATCGGATTAATGCAGTTGAAACAGATTGTTGAGGAGGACATTAGTATCACCCGAACGCCATGTGATTTCGAAAACAAACATTAGCCTATGGAGATTTTATCAATTATAAAAGTATTAAACTGTCGCATTTTACTCTACTATTAAATGAAATGGCTGATACAAGTAAGAAGTTCGTGGCTACTGATAAAATTTTTAAAGCAGAATGAACAGTATTTTTCCTCCAATATGTGGACAGCAACAATGGCTGGGGGCGATTATCATGTATATTTGCCTGTTGCATACGAAAATGATGGAATAACGTAAAATTTTTCATTATGGTTCCGAGACCTGTTAATACACGATTTGACGAGAGAATGTGTGGAAATTATTTTATTAAACGTAACTATGATAATGTTATGGAAATTATCTGTTTAGTTTAAATGCGATGAGCTGACCATTTTCTCATCATCGCTATTGTCCGTTGTCTAGATAAATATTCCCGACTCTACATATTTCATTCTGAAGCATAGCTCAACAAGCGTAGAACTACTAACATTTTTGCTTGCGTCATGTCAAATTCTTTGTTTTTTTTTCCTCAGTTAGTCGTAACGTGTCAAGCGTACCTTGTTACAACGGAATACAAGTAACTCGTCATTGTCGTAAGCGATATATCCCTACGATGACAATGTATGTGGAAGGTATGTTACTTATTCGATTGTTGAGGATAAACCATGACGAACAATAAACCATTTGTTTAAAAGTTATTATTATAATGTTGGATGCTTTTTATACATACTAAAGAAAATATTAGACTTGTCTCTTTTTTACTTGATACCATTAGTTTTTATGTTAGTGCAGTGTGCTATTTTAAAGAAGTCTACCTAGTTGATTTTAATCTGGTCAGTATATGACAACCTCTTAATATATTGTGCTAGGCTAAGCTGGGGCTTCACAAGACGCAAGCATTCGCACAACGGATACATCTTTTCGTTTAGTATCATTGCATAAATTTATAAAATTGATTGTTTTAAAATAACTTTAGCAGAGGCCTATAGTTTATAAGTAAACTTATATCATTAGTTTTAACAGTATAAATAGTAAACCCATAGGTACTTTCTGTAAACCACCGAATATCATACTTCTCCCTTCGTCTTTCTCTAATCGGTTTCGACGCATTAAAAGTTACACGCGGTTATTATTATATTATTTATTGGACTAACAACTATTTGTTAAATAAGAGCTATAGTTTTCAAGTTTACTACCTTGATAATCAGTATCTTGGAAGTCAAAACAAATACCGCGTAAATATTGCAATTCACCTATTCTCAACAATCGACCCGACTAAACTCGTAAAACTTTTTCTGGCTAAAATTTACAATTAATCACAGTCAATTAAAGATATACAGTCAATTATATCATTTGTCGTGAGAATTTTGTCAAATTGTACAATGTAGCTACTCGATGTATTTGGATATATTCTGGATACTATGTTCAAAAATAGCTCTATTGTAATACGTATATTTGCATCATACGCGTATTTTGCTGATTGCAACAGAAGGCATTCTTTATTAACTGTTCTATCAAAACTTTTGTGTCAAAATGCTTGACCGATTATGTTAGATTGTGATCTATGGCCAGTTCTACCACGCGATTATCTTGCAAGTATAATTTCAAAACTCATGAGCATGCCATACTGCGAACAAATTTTAAAAGCGCCCGTAACCTATAACTTTGCACGTATAATGGTATTTTATCACGGTAAACAAACAATAATGCATAATATAATTAAACGTAGTCAGCTGCTTTATTAATTAAGACACAAGATATACTCTAAATCAAGAACTAGCTATCTTCTATTACTACTACAACAATAATTAGCTTTGAATATATATTATTATGCAACAAATACAGAGGGACCAGCGTTACAAGCTGTTTGTTGTGTATCACAAGCGCCAACGCTAGGAATGTCAGGGTTCTTGTCTAAATTGAAACCATCCGCACATTTATTGTGCTGAATAGCACATTGACGATCGTGCGCAGCAGCTTCATTTTGGAATGTGAAAGCATTAACACCGAAAGTTCCGTCTGCATTCTTCTTAATAAATGGCATTTGAATACCACCGAGAGGGTTGTCAGCTGCTGGGTTTCCAGTACTGCCTGTTGTAGTATCTTGTGGATCCTTTGGTTTATCCTTTGGGTCTTTTGGCTTCTTTTTTGGGTCTTTTGGCTTCTTTTTCGGGTCTTTCGGCTTCTTTTTTGGGTCTTTTGGCTTATCTTTTGGATCACTTGCGCCTCCGTTGTTTGATGCAGCCTTGATTTGGGCTAAAACGCCAAGTGGATCAAAGTCTACATCCAGATTGAAAGCATCTGTAGGTGTATCCGGTTTTGTTGTCGCAGCGGGATCTTGGCTTTGCACAAATCCATTTAATTCCTTGAAGAAAGGTTTTCTGCCACACAAGAAGCTCGGTTTTCCATCCTGATTGGTGTTTCTCTCAGCAGTCCGATATTTCTGTGCGATATCAATTAAATCGTTTTGCCTCTTCGTTCCATCTGCAATCGTTGTATCAGCAGCCATTTGTTTCGCAAAGAATACCAAGTGATCTGCCACTTGCTGTTGTCTGCAAGCAGGCTTAGCGGCAAGAAGAGCATTCACGGCTTCGCCGGACAACTGTCCAACTTGTCCGGCAAAATTAGTACCTTGAGCACTGTCGCGCATTTTTTGGTAGAGTGGTTCAACGAAGGCAGAGTGTTCTTGGCCAAACCGACGTTTTTCGAGTGGAGCAGCATTTGAAAGAAGGGCCATGCTAAGAGCCACTGTAAAAATTGCGGAAATCTTCATGATTAAAGTTTGGTTTTCGTGGTGATGTGATTAGGATACTAGTATAATGTGATGGTTGTAAAAGAGCAGAAAAGCTAGATCTACTATGCTTTGTGGTTTAAAGAAAGACTGTAAACAGCTGAGCTGGATAGTTTGATTGTTTTATTAGGAGCAAGCCAGTCGCTCGTTGAATGCTTGTTGCGGACTTTGGTCAGTCTCTCGGTGTATTTATATATCTTAACATGATTCATTTGCGTCGTTAAAATTGATCTAGTTTTTTATTGTTTCATTAAGCGTAATGTTATTGATTAATTTACCTATTGATCATCAAACAGGATGTAGGTGTGACGGTAGGTTCGATCCGATGGCAGTCGAGCCTATCGCATATTGGTAACTAAGTCACACATGGATAGTTGTGCAGGTTTAATACCAACTACGTTTACGTCCATAATAACCATAATAGTGCACAATATTTCCCCTGGTTGTTGCAAACCGAATTTTTCAGATTATTGATGCAACTTGAGTAACACGACAGCGGAGGTTACAGTGCTGTATATAGTTGCCGTTTCCGTACGTATCGTTTTTATTGAATCGGGCAATAATTCATATTTTCTCCAGAAGATCAATGTTCTTTGTTTCAGATCGCAAGCGTTTCGATACGTAATTACTTCGATTCGTAAAATACTACGTAAACCACAGTAAAAAAATCAAGATTTTTAAAAGTCTACGCAAGATGAATTCGAGCTGAGGGGTCAGCCGTGAGAAATTGCCTGATGATATCTTGCCTATAACATTCAATATTAAAGATGCTTTATGTTTGCAGCTTACAATACCTTTTAACCGTCATAATGCTAATCATGTAACAGATACATGTGCCACTTGATCTTGCACATGCATACAGAATTTTGACCTATCGGATGAATACAAATTTTATGCAAGTGAATGGAACTTTCTTCTTACATTATTTCATAAACTAGTTAAAGAACAAATTACCCTAACAAAAACTTTTATTGCATATAGATTAAACTTGCATTATTAGTTTCAGATATGACCATTGAAATAGCTAGCATGTGTTCTTGCGGGAGGGTTTTACTTGTTTACGCATGCTAGCTAATCTTTAAATATTTATTAACCGATCGATTTTCCGTAACATAAAGGCTTTTCTTTTCTCCGTTCTATCAAGCCTTTGTTTGCCGTAAAATAAACGCAAATTCAAGTCGATCGGCTTTCCGTTCGTTTCATTAACTCGTCCAAGATAACAACGTGCAAATGTTGTTTCATGATAAAATATTAGAACCTTAGTCAAAGAACGAATTACTATTCAGCTCTTTAACTTTTGTCTCGGGTTTAATATTTATTGCCTCATGTTACGTAAATTGTTGCTGTGCAGTTAGTATTCAGAACAAAATTAATATTTATGATTAATTTTCATGTTTGAATATCGACCCTCTTGCATAACCCCATTTATGGAATACGTATACTTTGTGATACACGATCGAGAAAGACCTGCTTTGAAGTAAGTCCTGGCTTGTTAGAAAGTTTTCTTAGACATACGATATCGTCACTTATCAGGCAGAGACGGCTTATTATCGGGCTTAACACTTAAAACCATTTGCAAGTATTGCTGTCCAAACATATTGTTTTTCTTTAACAGTACTGGTCAATTTAACTAATTACAACAAAATTTGATAAAAATTAGTTAGAATAAAATAATAACTACGGCTCCTTATCCGAAAATTATACAATTACTTTAGCTAAAGTTTGTTTGTTTATTATGAAACGTTTTAGTGTAGAAGTTGCATCAGAAAATAATTTGAATTACACGCGTTCTTTGTCTTACACTTATTCGAAATAAGTAAGAAATCCTTTACTTGTATGTTGTATAACAGTTTACATAATAAAAATATGTATACGTCACAGCCTACAGTCAACTCTCTTTATAACGACCTTCTTTATAACGACCACCTGTGCTCTGCCCGTTTTCAAAAACGTCATATAATTTATTATATGTACTACGCTGCATATAATGACCGCTGCATATAATGACCGATTTTGCCCAGCCCTAGGCGGTCGTTATAAAGAGAGTTGACTGTACATATCTAATTTGTTGCAAAAATTATTAGGACCTGCCAAGTTAATTGCCTAATTGGAATTTGATTGAAATTTTATGGTCAAAGATCGATTTCAGAAGAGTTTAAAAAATTTTAATGGATGGCTAACCAAATATTAGATTTATCAGAAAGCTGCTTTAAAGGTTTTGTGTTTCAACTCTAGATTTTTTGTTCAGACTAAATAAGTGTTTAATTGTCTTTTGATCAATGTCAAAAATTACAAGATTTTATTTAGTCTTTTTATAAAAAGCAAACGTTTTATCACTGATTGTATTTATGAAGTGGACCTCGTTAACATTCTACATTTGAACTAAGGCATTATGGATAATAATTTGACATTATAATTTTTTCACTTTGAAAAACGTTAACGAGATATACTCGTACACAATAAGAATGTAATTTCACTAATTTAATAACAAATTAACTGATTACAACCAATTTTTTACGTAGCAACCTAAAACTCGAATTGCCAACTATTGCTTTAATGCCAATTAAGCTGTACACGTGTCAAGTTTTTAATATATTAAGTTTGTACCCTATTATATTTGTCAGCAAATTGTGGAAGAGACCTTAATGATAAATCATTAGCTATATACTGTCTATTACATGCGTTGAATCTTAATTGTGTGAAATTAATTACGGTTAAATTTCTAATAATGTTCGGCCGTCTCATGTCCATGTGAAAACATCCATAAATGATAGACCATCCAATGGCTAATTGCCTATTATAATCCAAGACACCTTTAACCACTCTCGCCATCCATAATAATGCATATTAAAACCACGATTTTTTGTCATTATACGTGTATCTCGCACGAATAAAAGTTTTATAATACAATATAATCTCGTTTAGGTTTGTTATTAATTATGCAACCGAACGCTAAAAGCCGTGATGACCATCATTTAACCAAATTGGCAAACAGCAGGTATATGGAAAAGAACTGACCAGTTTAATTATCGTAGAGTTGATTAAGTGACCATTTTGGTGGCTAATTGTATAAATTTGCAAAGTAAACTTCATATCTGTATGCATATGTACTCACTCATTTAACGTTTTAAATTAAAAAAAAAAACCATTCGTATTTCCTAATCAAGGAAGCCAGTCTTTAAAATTACGAGCTTTTATTAGTTGAGCAAATTGTTGTATTACTGTGAGTGCATTTAATCCAGCAGCGAGTCTAAGCGCAGCGAGTCAATTTGTTTTCCTGGGTTTGCAAATACGTTACACCTGACAATACAAACCACAAAGTAAGTACATCAAGAAACTGAAACTGAAACTACCATCTGAATGCCATGATATAACGTATGCCACATAGGCCAACTTTAGAACGACTTCTTGTCGGCGTTTGATTGACGCAATTGTTAATAAAGCAAATGAATTGATAGAGGCAAAAAAGCATTTGCCTTAACAAATTTGTGCATTTCAATGCGTTATCTGCGAGTAGTAGATCTTTCAAATTCCATTTGTCTGAAACTGATCGGTCTCCGTCGTTGATCAATTGCGCTAATAAATCGCCATAATTCAACTAATGTGACACGACGATAAATGATGCTTTGTATAACGAGAAATTGACGGTTAGGCATCGATAATCAACCATTTTCACAATGGATGCGATTCTGACCAATGAATGACTGCTATAAAATACTTTCTCGATTGCAAACCATAACACATGTATTCCAACAAGCAATCAGACAACAAATAAAATGTTCTAATAGAAACCAAACATTAGCGTTACAAATTGCATTACGTAGTTAATCTCGATAAAATAAGTCACTTTAAGATAAATCACTCTAAAATAAAGAATTTTTCTGCCTCGAATTTTTAATATTAAACATATAATCCTCGATAAAATAAAATCTCTATAGTTTAAACCATTACCTCCAGCCCGTCGACTTTATTACAGTATATCGAGTTTGGCTATGTAATTGCTTAATATTTGGGTATAGGATTTGAAAACGGACTGAGAAATTTTTATTTTTTCTGCCTCCATTTTTTAAATGCGGTTTTCGATATTATGCTTCGATTGGATTGAGATCCGGACTGTAAGAAGCCAAGGATGAACACGTTTCGGTCATTATCCCGCTAAAATACCCATTATTACCCAGCAAGTTGTCAGTATTGCCGTATAAATAATTATTGAGAAATTTCCGATATAATAGCGGTTTAGATTCTCCGTAAATATGCAATTTTTTCCTTAATGCACGAGTTGCATTGCGTTTCTTCATTTATTAGACGTTGTGAAGTGATTATGTCTAATTGTTATTCCAATTTGGCGACGTTGTTCAGGAGATAATTTTCGTGGTCGACCAGCTCGATAAATTTTAGACATTTTTCGAAGCATGGAAACACAGCGTTTACAGAAGCGCAGATTTTTCGTTTGCATGCGGACGTTTTGTTCCAAAAAAAACTTACAGTTTGTTTTAATAGGTGTATGTGTCGTTTGAAAAGTAAAATAAGCGTAAAGACAGTTTGTACATTGTTTATATTTTAAATTACTGTTATACTGCTCAAACTGGTGTTAGTAAACAAACGCCTAAACGCAAGATGCTGTCAACAAAAACCAAAATTACGTATCTATCGCTACTTTTGTCCAGTACTGTGGTTGTGTCAAACAAAGTCCTGTTACTATAAGTTTGTAGTTATTTAGCACACCTTTTAAGCAATCTAGAACTACTATTTTTTTATATTAAAAACGAACGCGTCTGATAATAATTGTTTGACAGTCGTGTTGGTTGATTGTAAAAACTGATAAATGATTACGTGGACTTAAAACATATTGGGTCGTTTATCAAAAAGTTGCTTCAAACAAACCCGAGTTTTAAATTAGCATTTCTGACTTTTTTTTCATTAAAACAATGTTTTCTATACAGCTTGATGGACAGTGCGATTCCTTTGCCAATGTAAGTTTTGCATAACTTTGACTTAGTCCATAGTAGCTAGAAAGTGTATTAGTATTGTCGTAGTTTCAAGAGCGTCACTTGTTGCCTCAAAAACCCCGAATTATTATATACAGTTTGCTGTAATTATCTAAAGTTAAGTTATAAGGTATTTCTGAAGAATGTTAGATGAATATCCAGCTGATATTAAAATTCTATGCATGTTATGTGGGGCAGACTGCAACAAAACCAGACAAAGTGAACATTTGATCATGTGAGCTAAAAGAGGCTGATGTGGCTGGAAAATAGGCTAATACTAATTTAACTGACAAAAATTTTGGTGAGGCTTTGCTTGATTATAGCTGTGGCTCATGCACCAATCCAGACTAAATTTTAGTGACATTTTAGACCTATTGTTAAGTTCTAATACTAATAGTAAGTGAATGTGACTAGCATTCGTGTATAAAAATGAATTCACATTCACCAAAACAAAAACATTGTTGTGACGTGTTTTCACACAAAAAGACTGTATCTAATCATGATCAAAACATTTGCATTTCAAAAAAGCTTTATTCAATAAAAATGGTTTGTTATTATTATATTAATATTGTCTTCTGATAGGAGTTGGCATGCATATGCAGACAAAAATGCTAATATTAATTGATTTCCACTTGTAGGAATTTCTCTACAAAGTCGCAGAAGCTTTTGTGCTTTTGCTCTTTCTTGCTTTGGTGTTTGCCAACAAGATCAACTCACATACCATTGTATGCTTTCTTTTGTACATCAACAACCACCAACAAGCTGTTGCACATAGCATGGTGATTAATATTCGAGATCTTTGTTGCCTTTGGGGTTGCCATTGCTGGTCCCTGGATGTGCTTCTTGGAGCCATCTTTCTCGACAAAGCTGTAGTGCAGCCATTGACACCATTTCTTCCCTTGATGGCAACACCACCTGATTATGAGCATATTGGATGCATTTCTCGAATCCTGGTAGCATTGAGCTATGCATTCCAAAAGTTACAAAAATTCTACACAAGTTTGCCCAGCTCTCATGTGGATGGATGACAGCAATTTTCCCCACATTTTCAACAGTATGTACTGTAGATTCAAGCACATCAGTTTCCTTCACATACCTTTCACAGCTGATGGAAGGGCATACTATACTAATATGGAAGGCAAAAACTGATAATTGTAAATTGATTGTTGTGAAGTTTACATGTAAATACAACAAGAATGCACACATACTTTGTGCCACAATCAACTTGCCCCTAAACTGCATTACTTTGGAAGGCACACAGAACTGCCATGGAAAAACTGGTAACTGGTATGTCTTACAAAGAAAATGTATTTATTCAACAATATTGCATGTAAATTATAATGGATGATAATGTATTACAGTCTTATCATACTACTGCAACATATAAACACCTTCTGGAGCCAATTTAATGTGTATGGTTGACCATGGTGTTCTGCATGTTTTTGTTCTAACATTGTCCAGGATTGAGCTGATATTGTTACAATTACGGACGATGAATTGGCCGCAGCAATCATGTGATAAAATCTTACTCCGCAGTCCGCGACCTAGAAATTTTATTGCCCGATCTAGATACAAATTAGTCGCAGTGAAAAGAACCCAATTTTAGTAATAATTCATGAAGCAAAATTGGTGTTTGAGTTATATAAGCGACCATTATCCCATCGTCTAGCTCTCATGTTGAATATGAATGTTGAATGTTGAAATGTTGGTCTGATATTGTTGTTATACTTATATTCCACGGAATTGTTCTTATCCACGGAATAAATAAACAAAAAAATTTTAATTCCCTTTAAAATTACTTTCTTTCTATCGGTTGATCGTCGAATTTATCGTAATTATTATAACAACGGACAATACTTGTTGCC